ACTTTCTCGCACATTCTTTCGAAATTTACAAGAAACAACCCGATGTCCTCGCTTAACTTATATGGCTGAAGAAGATCTTTCATTTTGAACCTTTTTGCCGGTTCAAGTCTACCTGCTGCCTGATTCGGAGACTAGGCCTCCAGTTTCTTAAGCTCAAGTTCCACTTTCCTTAGCTCTAGCTCCTGAGTTCGATTTTCTCTCTCCCTCTCGTGTTCTCGTTCTCGTTCCTCTCTCTCACAGCTCTCCCTCTCTCTGGGTGTTTGCAAACACTCCATCAGCTCCTCATCGTTAATCTCTGCGTCCCGAATGAGCTAGATGATATGTGGCTTTCGTTTGGCTTGTCCCAAATCGATTCCCAATTCGGTACAAACCTGCACCAGTTGTGGCACACGCAACGTCTCGAGATTCATGACTCTCTCTGTGTATCGGCACCCTTTTAGAACTCAGGAAAGCTTGCGTCCAACGGAAACACACTCGTTTAGACCGATACAATTTCCCCCAAACCCTAACAACAAATCTAATGGCTGTCAGGTCTGGCGGATCCAAGAAAGAGGGCCGGGCACTCACCCACACCGAGAGTCATGGTCCGGCGAAGTCGATCCGGCGTAGTCGAATTCCATGAAGTCGAGTCCCACGTAGTCGTATCCCACCGCTGCCAACCAGTTGTCGTGATTGAGGGTTCCGACGAAGGCTCCCAGCCCGGCGACACTAATTTGTGCCGGGTAGGAGACAGGATCGAGGAGCCGGGAGGCGACGAGCTCAGCAAAACAGAACACACTATATTTACATTAATTACAACATCCTTTCAGTGTTCGTACCACAACAACTTCACGGGTGTCCTTTCTTTATATATCCGCCTCCCATCTCGCCGTCCACTGGCTTGTCCAATCGCAGGGGCCTACGTGGTCCTCGGTAGCCAATGTGGAAGAAGTTCGTGTGCCAGCGGCCAGCCAATGCGGAAGAAGTGCGTGTGCCAACGGCCAGCCAATGCCGAAGAAGTTCGTGGCGGGTCTCTCGGCGTGGTGGCTCGCTCGCTGAAGAGTCATCCACACGCACACACACAGACACGGACACCCAGCTTGTACAAAGGTTGTCTCGAGAGCCGAGTTCTCCGAAGCTCCCGCACGAGCCGCCGGTCGGTGCGAGAGCGTGCTTTGGTCGACGTGAGCCAGGGGCACGCGCCGCTCTCGTAAACGTGGTACGGGTGTGTCGTAGCCTTTCACAATAGCAGGGAGACCCCAATGGATTTCTAGTCCATCGCCTTAACCACTCGGCCACGACTGCGGGACGAGTAGGGGGCTCTGAGATGTGGTACTAACTCAAGAGCTGGGGATGTCATGGATGTAACGTTGCATGTAGCCGCTCAACGTCTATACAGGAGAGGGCGCTGCGGTCAAATGCGTATATAATCGCGTTAAACTTTGCATGCATTGGCTCAACGTTTATAGACGAGTAGGCGCTGCGGTCAAATGCTCAAATGCGTATATAACCACGTTCCATACCACACATTCTCTTTCTGACATGGGCCGTTGACTTAAGCGGTGGAGATGCATTCCCACGGCTTCTAGCGGATCCAACCTGATCCGCTAGAACCACTGGCTCTGCATTTCACCGACCATAAAGCAGTAATAATGAAGTCGAAACGCAACCCGGAACTCAGCACTACCTATGACCAATAAAAACAAATCAGCACCATCAGCACTACCTATGAACAATAAAATCAGTATCATCAGCACCACCAGAGCTTCGCCCCAATCAACATCATTCACCACGAGGAGATGCGGTCATTTTTTTTGTTGTGTGTGTGTGCGTGAGGGGGCTAGTTTGAACGAAGGATTTACAAAGCTACATTCTGCTCCCTGAGACTTCGCCCTGAGTGGCCTTTGTCGCGCACTGGGGCTTCCCTGGGGCTTCCCACTCCCAGTCCCAGCTCAAAAAAAAAAAAAAAAAAAAAAAAAAAAAAAAAAAAAACGGACATTTCACAGAAACTGTACATACAAAGTGATCAACCTCATTTCCTACAGCTCCGCAAAAATCTTTCTTTTTTTCTTTTTTCCCGTTCGAAAATAGAATCAAATTTTATTTTTGTCATTTCGAAAAAAAAAAAAAAAAAGGTGTGTCTTGGGGGGGGGGGGGGGGGGGGGGGGTGTCCCGTGGAAAAATAGTAACGGTTACAAGTAATTTTTATTACTTCAAAAAGTAATCAGATTACTCTTGTGATTACTGCACAATAAAAGTAATCAACTCATTACAAAATTACTCCAAAAAGTAATCGATTACAAGTAATTTGATTACTTGTAATGTGTACGGTACAAGTCTGTATATAGCAGTCTTGCAATGATATGCAGCAACCTAATAAAATGTTAGAGCGCATGACCGATAAAGCACAGAGTTGTAATCTGTGTGCTTAAAACAAGTGCACGTGAAACCGAATATAACATTAGCCTCCTGAGGCAGTATTTCGGGAAGATTCAAGCTCATACGAGTTAATGCCAAAATTATTTATATTAAAAATACAAGAATATTTGCGTGTACTTTGCGCTATTTATGTGTAATAAAGAATAGCATTGCATCTCCATTTGCTAAAAAGTTTGCTTGAGCTTGTTTATTATTTGCCATCTTGAACAGCTCAACTGGACAAGTACAAAGAACAAGAACAGACGAGACTATCAGACAGTGCAACTGGGCAAGGACAAAAACAAGAACATAGAATACTGAGCCCTGTCTGTCCTTCATCCTTGTCCAGTTGTGCTGTTTTCACCTCCAGATCACCACGTGTTTCTTTTTGCAGTAAGGCATTGTGTATGGGATTATTTAGAAGAATGCCACTCATTATATCGCTCTCTTTCCGTAAATTTCGTGTATTTGCCTTCAGATCTACCACGTGAGCACACATTCCTTTTTAGCATACTCCGCGACGCGGCTTGTCACAGTGCCAAACAGCTAACAAAATATCATGTTTCCGCAGATCAGCCAAGAGCTGGCGTCTTTTCAAGTATCGTCTGGTGTTGGTCTCTAACGGTTATGTGAACTTCAAACAGTCAAATATATTTATGAAAATAAAAGATACAATGGTGGATCCTTAGGGAATGCGTTAGCATGACCCTTGGAAACGCCACACAAGTCTTCCTGTTTGAAATGCTAAAGCTGACCCCTTCACTTTCCTCGTTGGCTTTCTCTTTTGGTTCTCTTTTCTCCCCTGCCTCTTGTTGGCCTCGTTACGGGGTCAGCGTTAGCGTTTCCAAAGGGGGGACGTGTGTGGCGTTTCCCAAAGGCCTTTTATGCTAACGGAGTCCCTAAGAACCCCCCTTTCCTGTACCCTGCCCATCAGGGTACGTCAACACCCTTGGATACGGTCATCTATATCATTTGTGGAAAGGACTACATCCATACCACTTGAGGAAGGAACCACAACCATGTCACTCGTGCAGGGAACCGCATTCATCATTTTAACCACACACACACACACATCACAGCCCACACACCTCTACTATGGACACCAAGAGCAAAGAACAACCGGCGACAGAACAGTGGTAACTGAGCATGCTTGCATTCCACCGTACCGCGGCGCAACACCTCCTAGATAACAAAGCCGTAGTGCCGAATGAGAAGGCCAACGCTGGGCACAGATTGGACACCACGATTGCGTCAATATTCGGCGCAAACTTGACTCGAAGCTGAGTGCTGACACAGCACTCGTTTTCAATCTGTGTCCAGCGTTAACCTTCTCTGATGACGCCATCTCATTCAGCACTACGGTTTTATCTAGGAGCTGCTGCGTGGCGCCGCCTTCTCTCTGGCTCTGTGCCAGCTGTAAGCGTGACTTTGACGAAAGGGTTCGTTTTGAGGAAAACCCAGCGGTGTCTGTCAGTTTGTCAGTGCTGGAGAGAAAGGGAGAGATTGACGTATGCTGATGCAGTGCTTCAGACCAATGGGAGTTGCACGTTTCACCCCCCTCCCCCCCCTTTCTCTCCAGCACTGACAAACGAAAGTCACCACTGGGTTTTCGTCAAAACGAGTGTTCTAATGCACACACATTAAAAATATATTCAATTACTGCCTGAAGACTTAGCAACATAAATGATGGGTTGATCACCTTAAAGATATACATTGTAAGTAAATGCACCCCCGAATTATCTTAGATGCTCTGACTAGTTTTCGGCGTTTTTAACCCCATAGGCACGTAACTGTGTGTTCCAGACACATAAATAACTTTTCAAATACAGAGATCTCTTATGTGATGAACAGCGATTTTGTCTGTGGGTTGGACAAAAACAAAATACACATGGACGCGCGGCGAGACTATGACGATTACGCACGCAAACCGTCAGAAAGTGGCGCTTCGTGAGACGAAATTTAGAGCAAAATCACACGAAACTTTGCTTAGTGTGATTCAGGAGCAGCTGACGACATGCTAAGTAGATAATGAATGTCTTTAAAACACCATCTTTTTTTTTTTTTTTTTTTTTTTTTAGAGATCTCAACGTCATTTTGACGTAATAGTTTGGTTACTATCATACTGTCCCACTACTAAAGTGATATCAGTATTTTCATTTTATTCCAATTTTATTTTGAGCGGTGTTGCCCTCTGCAATTTTGCAACACACGCAGTAGATCCAACCCCGACTCCCTTCTTTTTCAGTAATTGTTTGAAAGGAAGGACAGACCGACATCGAGTCTCGGGTACCGAGAATTCAGGGCCTGTCCGTCCCTTCAGAAACGTAAGCAAACAAAAAGAAAGAAAAAACAAAACAAAAACAGCTGTAGATGCTGATGACAATATAACGCGCAAACGTCGAAGATCAAATTTGAAAACCGGCTACGTTGTTACGTTACGATAAGGCTGCGTTACACCATCGTTACAGGCGTCACGTAAACTACCTACGACTCCTGCGTCGCGATCTCAAGCGGGAGTCAACCGGCGGACGCACATGCGCCCTTAGTTTCTGAGCAGTGGCGCGGCCCCCCAAAAAATGAGCAAAGGAATAAGCCTAACTTACCGATACAATCGTCGGGATATCTCAGTTTTTTCATATTTGCCTTCTGTGTAGACTTTAGGCGCCTTCTGCATTATATCAGCTCTTCATGCTTTTTAATTTGGGCTCACTGCTAGGCGCAGCTAAGCAAGGGGAAAACTTTCCCGTGAAATTCCGATCGTCGGTCCCTGCCCATGCTGTTTCTCTTCCGACGCACATCTGGTCATCTGGGATATTTTTGTTGGTTCGGGCCACGCCTAGTTCAAGGATCGGAACGCAAATAAACGAGAGGGCGCTACTAGGTTACTCATTTTAAACTCATTTTCAATGAGGTACTTTTATTGTTATTTTTGTACATAGAATTTTTGTTTTGTTTAATTAACGAAGTCAAGCGGCTCAAATGGTTCAAGATCAGTAAATGTATAAATAGTTATTGTGAAAATATTACGCCTCTATACTCCTACAAGCGTTTTAAAAGAAATAAAAGGAACCAGCCCCAGGCTAGGTCGACCACGTATGGCGAACAACGAATAGAATGTTGACAACAATGAACCAAACAAAACAAAAGTTGGAAGCTGAAGAGCAGACGGCGTAGTTGACATTGAACCTATGCAGCAACATCAGCAAGGACTGAACTGAAAACTTTCGAACGAAGGGAGCTACCGTCGCCACACACGGTTTGCGAGTGGCGACGCCAAGGGCACTGGCTTCCATGACGGCGCAGATAACGCGATATTGCACGACTTATAGATGGACATGACACTCGGACCTGCACCGACTCCACCAAACGCATCCACCGTGCTCCCCGTCGGAATTCTAAATCACAGCGATGTTCAAAAACTCCGTGGCACTCTGGAACCTGCTGGGACTCCGACGGTGCCTGCAGTACCGACCGGTGTCGTCCGACGTCGCGAGACCGATCACCTGGAACGATGTGTCCACGGCACTGCGACCTTTTTATTTCATCGTCCATCCTGACAAGTTCTGGAACCACCCGCGCGAAAAGCAGGCCAACGAACACTCGTTGAAGCAGCTGAACGCCTACATCGATGCCCTGCTGAACCAGAAGAAAACCGGCCCGCTCAGCCTGAACTTCTACGTCCGCCAGTCCAAGAGCGCACCTAGGCAAGAGTTCCGAAACGTCCAGATCCGACTCTCGAGCCAGAACGTTCGCGCGACCGTCCACGAAGTGCTCACGTCCTGCAGCCTCGCCACGACGGATCTGGGCCGGCTGTCGTCTGCGACGGACGAGCAGACGACAGGCAGGCCTCCGCGAGCAGACGACTCTTCCAACATATCTTCCTTCGCGGACGCCGTGCTCCGGCGCGCGCCCAGGAGCGCGCGCGACATCGAACGTGACGCCTCGCACGGACACTGGACGGTCGGCGGGCGCCGCGTCCTCGACTTCGAGAGGTTCTTGCGCGAGAGCGGACCTGTGGCTCGCGAGCGGTCGGCCCAGAGCGCCCCGATTCGCGAGGAGACGGTCCGGCTGTCCTGCGAGCTGGTGACCACGCTGCAACTGGCCGGCATCCGCTGGGAGTGCGGCTGGGGCGCCGGACACCACCGAGGCTGCCTTGAGAGCTTCCGGCGGCTCGTTCAGCAACACCCCGAAGCCGCCGAAGCGCTTCGGGGTCGCACCGTGGTGCTGGGCCGCACGACGGGAGTCTCCCTGGACGGCTACGTTATGCTGAGCATCGAGGAGGTGCGGCACAACTGGTTGTCGCTGCTCAAGGCACTCCCTCGCGGCGACCCGTACGTGGCGCGAGTTCCGCAGGCCGAGCGGGAGCTGTCCGAGGCCCTGCGCGGGATCCGCGTGGAGCACCGCAAGTTCAAGCCGTCCGTCGTGGCGCAGGCCTACGTGCAACAGCTGCAGAAACTGACCCTGGCATTGCATAGGTGGGTGCAATAGATGATAAGTACACTTTAGTACCGAAGAGATTAGAATGACGAAATTAATCCCTGGAGAAGGGGAACAAATAGGGACAAAGGACAAACACAAATCTGTGTTTGTGATAATTTATAAGGGTGCAGGCGGAGCTGGTGAATGTTAACCATGTTGAATAAACGTGAGACTGGGGCAGAAATAAGTCGAAGGAACAGAAAAGGACAGAACGACGTCTCAAACTCAGCTACTAGGTTTATTTAGTCCGCCTCCTTATATAGCGCACAATCAGCCACCAACAACACAAAGGGCAACCTCTAACCAGTTCAAATGCCAAACCCTCCAATCAGCCACCGCCAACACAAATGGACATCCTCTGTGCAGTCCAAATGCCAAACACTCCAATACGTGATGTAGAACTATGTTTGTGTTTGTCCTTTGTCCCTCTTGTTCCCCTTCTCCAGGGATTAATTTCGTCATTCTTGTCCAGCTCGCTTGCACCTTAGCATTTAATTGCATTATAATCAAAAAGAGATTAGCAGGATTAGAAACTACAGCTAACACAGCTGGGGACAGGCGGGACAGAGGAAAATTGGGACTCCCTTCCACGTGGCTCTGGCCCAAACCCAGTGGGCCCGGTGCTGGGGTAACGCTACTAGGTTTGACCAGAGGTGAATTGGCGACTTCCTTGCCTGGGGGGAAAAGGCGGGGGGGGGGGGGGGGGGGGTGACGTTTTTAGTGTTTTTGCCCAATCCCACAAAGGTCATCCTGGTGATATCCTACACCGTCTGGTGATGGTTGCAAAATTGCAGAGGGGAAGAGCTAGGGCCGGCCTTGCACCATCAAACGCCCTGGGCAAACTCCGACCGTGGTGCCCCCCCCCCCCCCCCCCCCCCCCCCTCCCCCCCTCCACCTGTCTTTTTATACGCCCCTATCTACTATAGGTACGCCATCACGTTGTTGATAAGCATCTGAGTAGTGGTCGAACTCAAGAGTTTTGTTAGACGAGAACCGCATTCTAAAATCGAATGGCGATTGAGCATATAGCTCAAAGGAGCGCGTCAGCATGCGACTATACCTCGTTCAGCGCTGCGCACTGAATGAGGGCAGTCGCATGCTCACGCGCTCCCTTGCTGGCAACATGCCCTACTTACAATTTTTTTTTATTCACAATTACCCTCAAGGCCCCAAGGGTCATTATTGGCGACGTGCGCGACCGAAAGCGTCGCTGTGGTCGGCCTTTCACGATTGGCCCAAAAGCTGACTATGACGTCGGAAAGGGTATACCATCGACGGAAATAAGAAGAATGAAGGAACTTTAATTTCGACGGTGTTGGCAGTGCTCCTTTGAGAGCGCAATGATTTCAGGCTTCCACCATGCTATTTACAAACACCATCGAACTTGTTGTTCGCAAGGTAATGACGTCACAAGGGGGAACCATAGGAGGGCGCCACCAAAACATCTCGCCGCTAATAGGGAGTATTCACTGGCGGCCATATCCGTGTGCGCTGCTGCTGAGCGCGTGCTGACGGCGAGCTTCCGCAGTCCTTTTGGAGCGTGCATTTAGCACCATCAAGGTTGCCGGTCTTAGCAGGCTATTAATGTGAGCTCGTTCTGAGCATGCGCTCTAAACAGCACCCACAAATATGGCGTCCAGTGAATACCTCCTATAGAGGGGAATGGTTGGTTAGTACAGTTCTAAATTTCGCGTTGTCGGTGATGGTGACGATGTCATCGGGAAGGCCATTCCAATCCACACTCCACAATAGCTTCTGGTATGAACGAATGTTGATGGGCTGCTGAAGTGGTCTTGGGACGGGCGATCTTGCATGAATGATCCACTCTTACAGAAATATAGCTGGGCGGGCTGAGGAGCGAACGTCGTAGTGGTTCAGAATAGTAAATTTTATGAAGAAGGCTAAGACGGGAAATTCTGCGACGAACGCAAAGCTCAGGAAGAGTTAATCGAGATTTCATTGCAGTGACACTAGAAAAGCGAGAGTAATCAGAAAGAATCAATCGAGCAGCACGATTTTGAACAGATTCGATTGCGTTGGTTAGAAAAGCCTGAGGGGGGTGCCAGATAGCTGAAGCATACTCTAGTTTAGGGCGAACAAGCGTGACGTAAATGAGACGTTTGAGGTTAGAACGAGACTTGAAATTGCGACGGATATAGCCAAGTGAACGGTTTGCAGAGGATATTGTCTTGTCTACATGAACATTCCAGGACATATTAGTGGTTAGATGGACGCCAAGATACTTGTACTGTGCAGTAGTCTGAAGGGCAATGCCGTTGAATGTTAAAGAGTTTAAGGGCTGGGAGGAGGAACGTGTGAAGCAGAGGTGTATGCATTTGTTAATATTGAGAGACATTTGCCATGTGCGGCACCATTCAGCAATTTTGTTAATGTCGTTCTGGAGTGCAATATGGTCGTCTGGGTCTTTTATTAGTCTATAAACAACACAGTCATCAGCGAAAAGACGAACAGAGGACGAGAGGTGAAGAAGGAGATCATAATGTAGATTAAAAAGAGTAAGGGCCCAAGCACAGTTCCCTGTGGAACACTGGAAGAAACGGGAGAGAAACAGGAAGACTTTCTGTTAGCGAAAACGAATTGAGAGCGATGAGAAAGGAATGATTCAATCCATTGAAGAACAGGAGGGTCCAGTTTTAGCGCCCTAAGTTTAAAGAGAAGGCGATTGTGTGGAACTTTATCAAAAGCTTTGGCGAAATTAAGAAAAACAGCGTTAGTTTGATAACCAGAGTCAAGATTTTTAAACAGGCCCAACTCAAAGGACGTGTGCTCGGTGTGCTCCGACGCGTTCATCGGCCGGATGCGGATGTTCCGGGGCCTTGCGGTACCCGCTTTCATTGTAAGTGCATCGACGTTGTGGGAAAGGATTATGATTACTTCATGCCAGGCACTTAGCCAGGATTTTGTTTCGGGAGGGGGGGGGGGGGGGGGTCGCCCATGACAAATTCTGTATGAGGGGGAGGGGGAGAGGATGTCCCAGCAAAATGGAAGATTTCGGGGGGGGGGGGGGGGGGGGGGCCTGGGCCCCATGGGCCTCCCCCCTGGCTACGTGCCTTCTTCATGCAGAGTGGTATCAGCACTTACAAGTGTAAAATCTGCACGAGGCGAAATGGCTTTGATGAAGTTAGTGCTATATCACGGAGCAACGCCCTCCTGATGATTGTGACGTAGCATCGGTGAGCACAGTTATGGAAAACTGCAGCGCGTGTGGCTGTCTGAAAGACTTGTTGGTGGCACTACATGACAAGGTTGATTCTCTCGTCAAAAAAGTTGTCTCGGTCAAGGCGGAAAACGCGTTTCTGCTTCTGCATCTGTCAAAGAACACGGAAACATTACGTCGTTTTACTGCCCAAAACTTTGAGCCACGGCCGACTGCAACGCCGTCTGCGCAACTTCGTCCTGCGTCCGCAAGCTTCGTGGAGGTTCTTGGGAAAGATTCACCTGGCTGGTTCGTTACATCAACCACTCTGGAGGTGTCCAGGAGCAGTTTTACTTCCACCCATCTGCATAATACATCTACATCTGCTGTGGCTGCAGGGTCCTCCGTACTGCCGCCCGCGGTGACCGTGCCGAAGGCGTCTACAGATGCCGATGGCTTTACGCTCATCCAACGGAAAAAAAGAGTCAAGCCATCCTCAGGTTCCCGCGCAAGCAGTAAGCTATCGTCAGGCCCTGGAGCACCAAGGCTCAAGGCGCTTTTTGTTTCGCGTCTCAATCCTGACACTACGTGTAGTGATGTTGTGGAGGTGCTAACTGCAGTTTTAGACGGAAAATCTTTTACATGCACCAAGTTAAAAACTAGACACGAAAGCTACTCCTCATTTCGCATTGCTCTGAACGAGGATGACTTCGACAAAGTGAACAATGCAGACATTTGGCAAATGGGCTCCCTTTTTAGGCCATTTTTCGATGTTGCAGGGCGCAATGATGTTCGTGACACAGCTACGCCCAACTAGCTTGTCAAATGAATTGTTCAGTGTTTTATCAAAACGTCCGCGGCCTGCGTACGAAGGCTCCTATTTTTTTTTTTTAATAACGTTCTGGGTGATTACGATATCATTTCTTTAAGTGAAACTTGGTTAAATAGCTCATTTGCATCCCTGGACTATTTCCCTCCCGAATATACAGTGTTTCGTCAAAATCGAGATTATGAAAAACTTTCCGTTAAATTCCGTGGTGGTGTACTAATTGCAGTTAAGAAACATTTACGGGCTATTCGCCGGTTTGATCTCGAATTCGAGTGCGAGTACGTTGGGATTGAAATGCCTCTACGTGATAACAATAGCTTACTTATAGGCACTTTTTATTTTCCTTCTAATGTCGACGAATCTAAGTTTTCTGACCAATTAGATATGCTAGGGGATAAATTAGATGTGGATCAACATCGAATACTCATACTTGCTGATTTGCGTCATTTAAAGCGAATGCCCTTCTTTCATTCGTTAACCTTCTCGGATTTACCCAAATGAACGGTCTTCATAACTCAGCAGGACATGTGCTGGATCTGGCCTTGGCTAACTATCCTACCGACAGCCTCATGTCTGTTTCGAATCCGCTTGTTTTGTTTGGCACATTCCTTTTTCTGTTTCCTTTATGATTTCTGTGGGGAAAGTAAAGCACAAAAACCGTGAGTCGCTTGCTCTCTCAACAGGTGATCACTTTGGCTTTTATCAACATTTAGATAATGCAGATTGGGCTTCCATATATAGTATGACCGATGTAAACCGTGCCGTTGAAGTGTTTACAAGCTATATCGTGTACGCACTTGAAAGTTTCATGTCCAAAAAGCGTCCTTACACAAGTCGTTATCCGCACTGGTACTCCAAGGGGCTTAAAAGTAAACATATTCGACAGATATCTGCCTGGTTGGGTGAGAGTTAAAGTCTGAAAATATATCTCCAACCAAAAAATGAAAAGCAACCCGACGTTTCAAGACCAACACGGTTTCTTCTTCAGGGGTGACTGAAGGCGCGCGGAC